CCAGAAATGAATTAAACTTTGTTTAATCATCCCACAATTTTTCTTTTTGCTGTGGATCTAGAATCACAGGGCAGAATTGATAAGGCTGCCAGAATTCCTTCCCCAAAAGGGCATTAGGGAACAAGATGTGATTTTACAACAGTGAATAATAGTTCCCAGGGTCACCAATAGTGAAACTCGCTTTATATTCCAGATTTATGACTTTTATTCATATTCACCATTTAGTGATTCTGCCAAAATCTTCATAATTTTAAAAACCTCTTCAAACTTTCTTAACCTATTTGCTCCAGTACAACAAAGACAGTAGACCAGGGCTTCCCAAAGTGGGGGGTCAGGATGCCAAGTGGGGTCACAAGCTTAAGTTTGGCGTCATGAGCTGAGGCAGCAATGGCTGCCCAGTTCTAACAGCTGTACAACTGTCCTACCACTCTAAAAGGTTTTCACTGAAAAGTTGCAACAATTTTCAAACTTCAAAATGAGATCAGAGCAGGGAGCAAGTTTGGGAAGTATTTGAGTAGACATATAATAAACCAGAGGCCTGGACTATAATCCCAAGATTGTAGGTTAAAATCTGTCTATGGCAGTTTGAAAATTATAATTCAGTTTTTAAACTTTGAAAATAAAAGCTGGTATCAGAAAATTGAGCTGTTGGAAAGCCTAGAACCTGGGGCACAATTTAAAAATAAGAAGGATGCCATTTAGAACAGAGATAATGTGAGATATTTTAACAAAAGTGTTGTGAAACTTTGGAATTATCTACACCAGGGGACTGTGAAAGCTCAGTCTTTGAAAATGTTTCAAGTAGAAATTGATGGTCTTTTCATTACCAATGGTGTAAAGGGTTATAGGAATGTTCTGGGTAAAAGGCAGCTAAGTCACCAATATCCTGGGCAGAAGGTTTGCTAGAGCGTCTTTGGGAGGGTTTAAACTAGTTTGGCAGGGGGATGGGAACCGGAGCTACAGATCAGAGGACGCCGTAGCCGGTGTACAGGCAGATAGACCAAGCAGAGAATCTATGATGAAGGATAAGCAGTTGATAGGGCAAAGTGGCAGTCAGTGCGACAGGTTAAGGTGTGTCGACATCAATGCAAGAAGTGTAAGGAATAAGGGTGATGAACTTAGAGCACGGATCAGTACTTGGAACTACGATGTTGTGGCCATTATGGAGACTTGGATATGACAAGAGGCAGGAATGGTTGTTGGATGTTCCAGGGTATAGATGTTTCAACAGAAATAGGGAGAGCGGTAAAAGAGGTGGGGGAGTGGCATTGCTAATCAGGGATGGTATCACAGTTGCAGAAAGGGAGGTTGTCGAGGAGGGTTTCTCCACTGAGTCAGTGTGGGTGGAAGTCAGAAACAGGAAAGGAACAGTCACTTTATTGGGAGTTTTCTAATAGATCCCCCAGTAGCAACACAGACACTAAGGAACAGATTGGGAGACAGATTTTGGAAAGGTGCTGAAGTAATAGGGTTGTTGTCATGGACGACTTCAACTTCCCTAATATAGACTGGAACCTCCTACGTGCAAATAGTTTGGACGGAGCAGATTTTGTCAGGTGTGTCCAGGAAGGATTTCTGACTCAATGTGTAGATAGGCCGACGAGAGGGGGAGGCCATATTGGATTTGGTGCTTGGCAACAAACCAGGCCAGGTGTCAGATCTCTCAGTGGGAGAGCATTTCGATGATAGTGATCACAACTCCCTGACCTTTACAATAGTCATGGAAAGGGATAGGTGCAAGCGGTATGGGAAAAGTATATAATTGGGGGAGGGGGAATTATAATGCTATTAGGCAAGAACTGGGACCAATTAGGATCAGCTGTTCTCAGGGGAATGCACGACAGAAATGTGGAGGTTGTTTAGGGAGCAGTTGCTACAAGTACTGGATAGGTTTGTCTCACTGAGGGAAGGAAAGGATGGTAAGGTAAAGGAACCTTGGATGACAAGACATGTGGAACACCTAGTCAAGAGGAAAAAGGAAGCTTACTTAAGGTTGAGGAAGCAAGGATCGGACAGGGCTCTAGAGGTCTACAAGGTAGCCAGGATGGAACTGAAGAAAGGACTTAGGAAAGCCAGAAGGGGGTATGAGAAAACCTTGGTGGGTAGATCAAGGAAAACCCCAAGGCGTTCTATACTTATGTGAGCAACAAGACGATGGCCAGAGTGAGGGTAAGGCCAATCAGGGATAGTGGAGGGAACTTGCGTGCAGAGTTGGAGGAGGTAGGGGAGGTCCTTAATGAATACTTTGCTTCAGTGCTCACCAGTGAGAAGGACCTTGACGTTTGTAAGGACAGCATGAAACAGGCAGATATGCTCGAACAGGTTGATGTTAGGAAGGACGATGTGCTAGAAATTTTGAAAAACATGAGGACAGATAAGTCCCCTGGGCCAGATGGGATATACCCAAGGTTGCTACGGGAAGCGAGGGAAGAGATTGCTGCCCCTTTGGCAATGATCTTTGAGTCCTCACTGTCCACTGGAGTAGTCCAGAAGATTGGAGGGTGGCAAGTGTCATTCCCTTGTTCAAGAAAGGGAATAGGGATAATCCTGGAAATTACAGAACGGTCAGTCTTACTTCTGTGATGGGCAAATTATTGGAGAGGATTCTGAGGGATAATATTTATGATTATTTGGAAAAGCACAGTTTGATTAGAAATAGTCAGCATGGCTTTGAGAGGGGCAGGTCATGCCTCACAAGCCTTATTGAATTCTTTGAGGATGTGACAAAACACGTCAATGAAGGTAGAGCAGTGGATGTGGTGTATATGGATTTTAGCAATGCATTTGATAAGGTTCCACATGGTAGGCTCATTCAGAAAGTAAGGAGGCATGGGATTCAGGGAAATTTGGCTGTCTGGATACAAAACTGGCTGTCCAATAGAAGGGTGGTAGTAGATGGAAAGTATTCAGCCTGGAGCTCGGTGACCAGTGGAGTTCTGCAGGGATCTGTTCTGGGACCTCTGCTCTTTGTGATCTTTATAAATGACTTGGATGAGGAAGTGGAAGGGTACGTTAGCAAGTTTGCTGATGACACGAAGGTTGGTGGAGTAGTGAATAGTATGGAGGGCTGTTGTAGGTTGCAATGGGACATTGACAGGATGCAGAGCTGGGCAAAGAAGTGGCAGATGGAATTCAACCCAGAAAAGTGTGAAGTGATTCATTTTGGAAGGTCGAATTTGAATGCAGAATACAGGTTTATTGCAGGATTCTCGGCAGCATGGAGGGACAGAGGGATCTTGGGGTCCATGTCCATTGATCCCTCAAAGTTGCTACCCAAGTTGATAGGGTTGTAAAGAAAGCGTACGGTGTGTTGGCTTTCATTGGCAGGGGAATTGAATTTAAGAGCCATGAGGTTATGCTGCAGCTCTATAAAACCCTGGATAGACCACACTTGGAATATTGTGTTCAGTTCTGGTCACCTCATTACAGGAAAGATGTGGAAGCTTTAGAGAGGGTGCAAAGGAGATTTACCACGATGCTGCCTGGACTGGAGGGCAGGTCTTATGAGGAAAGGTTGAGGGAGCTAGTGCTTTTTTCATTGGAGCGAAGAAGGATGAGAGGTGACTTGATAGAGATGTACAAGATGATGAGAGGCACAGATAGAGTAGATAGTCAGAGACTTTTTCCCAGGGCGGAAATGACTATTATGAGGGGGGCATAATTTTAAGGTGATTGGAGGAAGGTATAGGTGAGATGTCAGAGGTAGGTTCTTCACACAGAGAGTGGTGGGTGTGTGGAATGCGCTGCCGGCAGTGGTAGTGGAGTCAGATACTTGAGACTTTTAAGCGACTCTTGGGTAGGCACATGGGGGATAGTAAAATGTAGGGTATGCAGGGTAGATTGATCTTAGTAGGATAATAGTTCGGCACAACATCGTAGGCCAAAGGGCCTGTTATGTTCTACGTTCCACGTTCTAGTGTATGATCAGCCATAATCATGTTAATTGTGGGGCAGGCTGAATGGCCTCCTGCTACCCTTGGAAGGCCAAAAAAAGCATTAAGATAGGTTCACTGTCACTTACAACATTGCAAACTTACACTCATTCAAAAGTTTCATTTCACAAACAAAATTCAACATTAGTCACATGGAACTACATCTTACATGTTACATACTTGGCATCTGTGGAGGTGAACAGCGCTCAGGTACAGAATCCGGTGGAGAGTCTGGTAAAGTACTGTGTCAAAGAAGAAATATTTACCTTAAACGCGATATATATTAAAAACAAACTTCATGCCGCTATGTTTTAGCTTCACATCAATGCAGGCATGACTATACAACGTACAGCATAGATCAGCAATCTGAGAGGATGAGAGAGAGAGAGAAAGAAAGAACATATAGACTGAAATTTGTAATTACCTGGGAAATCAACTACATTGGAACTACTTGATATACAGAATTATAGATTATAGACACAGAGAAAGAACATTCAGCCCACCCATGCCATGAAACTTTACTAAAAGACCAATTTAACTGATTCCACTTCCTGCACTTTTCCTGTAATTACAGGAATGGTGCTCTTCCAATTCCCTTTTGAAAACATGTCTCAACTGGGCTCTCTGCCAGTGCACTTCCAGATCCTAGGCACTCGGCATAAATGTGCCTTCCTTTTTATGTTGTCTTTAGTTCTTCTCCAAATCTCACTTTTTTTTGATACTTTTGTGGGTTTATGAATGTTGCTATTGCCCATCTCTAAATGACCCTAAAGAAAGTGATGGTGAGCTACTTTCTTGAACCATTGCAGTCCATTTGCTTAAGGCAGCTCCACAACACCATTAAGGACGCAGTTCCAGGATTTTGACCCAGCAACCCTGAAGGAATGGTGATTTCCAAGTCAGGATGCTGTGTGGCTTAGAGGAGAACTTGCAGGCGGGGGTGTTCCTATGTATTGGCTACCTTTATCCTTCTAGATGGTAGCAGTCATGGGTTTGGAAGGTGCTGTCTAAAAATTGTCTTAAATCAGTGTCCTCTGATTCTCATCCTTTCTTTCATTGGGATCAAATTCTCTCTTGAATCTGCCAAACTGTGAACACTACAATCAAAATTTTTCTGAACTTTCTCTTCTCCAATCTATCCTCCTAACTGTCCTCATAAATCTTCTCTGTGCCCTCTCTAAAGCCTTCACATCCTGACTAAGAAGTGTGGTGTCCAGAACTGTACAGAGCGGTGTAGGTGAGGCCAAACCAGAATTTTATAAAGGTGCATCATAACCTCTTTAATTTTGTACTGTATGCGTCCATTTTTAAAGCAGAGGATTACATGCTTTTGCAAAAACATCTTTTCTCAACCTGCCCTGACACTTTCAATGATTTGTACACCTATACTCCAGATTTTTCTGTGTTCTCCTACCCTTCCTATTAAAATGTAATTTAATGCAGAGAAGTGTCAAGTGATACATTTGCCATGTGCCCAACTAATTCCACCAGACTGTCTATGCTCTCATGACATCTGTCACTACCACAAGTTTTCTGTCATCTAGAAATTTTGAAACTTTGGCTCATGCACCCAAACCTGGATCATTAATATGTAACAAGAAATGCAGTGACTCAAGTACTGATTGCAGTAAGCCCCATTGCATTCCTTCCTCTACTAGTAGTTGTACCTCTACTCTCCAGTTCCTGTCACTCAGACAGCTTCGCATCCATTCTGCTAGTCTCTTATATTCCAGGTTTTAATTTTCCTGGTAAACATATTACACTTAATCAGATGTTTTTGGGAGGTTTGTGTCACATCAATCCATCACCATTCATTAATTTTCCTGATACCCTGATCAAAAGTCTCAATTAAATTGGCTAAACATGATTTGCCTGTTGCAAATGTGCACTGATTTTCATTGATCAATTTATCCTTGTTCAAGTGATTGGTAATTTAGTCCTTGATTGTCATTTCAATATGGTCAGTATCTCAAGCTTCCACTTCTACTTCCCTGTGCAGTCTCTCCTGCTGATTTTTGTTAAGGTACATTGAGACAGCCAGCATTTCTAATAACCTCTTCTTTACAATTTCTATGAGCCTGTGTGTATCTCAACTACATCATTTACCATAACTTCTGTCATATCATCTTCCTTAGTAAAAACATTTGCAGAGTCCTCATTTAGCACCTCAGTCAAGTTCTCAGTCTCCACATTGGTTATTCTTTTTGGTTCGTAATTGGCCCTACACCTCCTCTTCCTACTTTTTGAGAGTTTATGGAAGACCTTTGGATTCAATTTTGTGTTAGCTCCATTCTCCCATATTCTGTCTTTAGTTCTCTTATTTCCTTTTTCATTTCCCCCTCTGAGCTTTCTATATTCAGCCAACACAGAATTTACAGACATAAACACATCATTCAATCAGCATTTAGTCCACAAGGTAATTTAATTGGCGCAAATTTTATTTAGAAGTCATCATTATATCTCTGTCAAATACAAGTTATAAATATAATTAAGGTAAAACCACAATTGCAATTCAAAGACAGGTCAATATGCACATGAAACATATCAGTAATGCTATTAAAAATATTACTTCCATGAGTCATGCACAGTGTCAAGCTACTTACATGGCTCCTGAATCCAAGTCATTACTAATATATGCTTCCAGCATACTGATATCAACAAAGGGATTCTCTAATGCTCCAGTTACATCCTGACCTGAGTGGGAAAAATGAATTTATTGCTACATTGTACAATAAAGTTTATTTTATAATGCAGACACTAAAGAATATTCATTAACTTAAAGGCTTTAATATCAGTCCAAAATTATAGGATATACCATTACATTTTCATGTTCATTCGATTTATAAGCTTGCTTATTTTAAAAAAGCAAAATCATTTTCCTGTCAGGCAACTAACATATGACTGGAGGACATGGTAAGAATAAACAGGTTCAGCACAAACCGGGGACTTTGCATAGCCAACCTGCATCCCTGGGCCCACAGTACAAACCCCTTATGCAGATGTGAAGAGATGCAAAGAATGTCCCTTACCCCACAAGTAGGAATCACTAAGCAATTACAGTGCCTAATCACCTTAAATACAGCAAATAAGGAGTCTGCCACTTGGCCTAAAGGATTTATATTCATTACATAAGGTCAGGAAAAATGCTGCACAAAATAACTGTTCAAATGAAAATGGGGAATGGGTATCAATAAAATGAAACAATGGAAAGGATCTTAAGGTCATCAGAGACAAAATTGGGGGTGGGTAGATTTTTAAGCCTCCAGGAAGAACAGTAGGGTGGTAGAAGATGGAAGAGTTAAAATTATATTAAAAAAAAACCTGGAAAACCTGATCCCAACCCTCAAGAGATGTGCCTATTTTCAGGTCAACTGGGAAAAGCTAGGTGAGTAACTCCATCATGAGATTTCAGTCAATAAATATAACATTTAAGTAAGACTGCGTGTATGAGATTTTTGCAGTGATTAGCAGTTGATAACTGTCAGGTTTCCCCATGTGTCAGGAAACTTAGCCCAAGCTAAGAACTGCCACCAACAGGTAAATGCTTTCACAGCACTACTGATGGATCAGGATGAACTGGAATATTTTCACCAGCCCACGTAAGTCACGGCCAACAACACGGCCCATGTCTCCTGACCAAAAATCATCTCAGAAGTTTAATCAAGAAGGCACAAACTCCAAGGAGTCAAGAAACTGGCACTTCTTGTTTAACTCTTCATTTGCATAAGAACTTCATGCGTTGAAAGACAAAAGGTTCCCATAACTATCCAGCTGGAAATAAAACAATGGCAGACACCAAAATCCACAAAGATACAGTATATCACTCACAACAGTCTTTGACCAAAAGCAGAAATAAAGCAACACTGCCTGATAATAGCAAGGATACTGGAAGCTGTTCTCTCTCCTAGATGCAATTGCAGAAACCAGCAGCAGTGAAAATGCAGAAAAAAGTAAAATAAAAAAGGAGAAAAAAATAAAATCAGTTTTCACTGATAAGTCAAGATCTGCAAACTTCACCACGGTTTAACAGAACGACAGCTGAATAATTGGGTTGAGATCTTTTCCTTCTCACAACCCAAAGGAGTCTTAAGATCTGTAACTCCATTTGCTTTCACTTTCCAGTCTGTACCACACATCCCTTTCTTCCCCACTGCCCCCTGTCACTTCTATGTAATTCATTCCCAGTATTTGATTTTGATGTTACGTTTTATTATATTTCGGAAGGGAACTGCAGATGAACAAATGTTGGAACAGTAGTAGCCCGTTCAGCCCCTCAAACCTGTTCTGCCATCTAACAAGATCATGGCTAATTTGAGGTCTAATTCCACATATCTGCCTTTGACCCATATCCCTTAATACCTTTGCTTAACAAAAAATGTATCTATCTCAGATTTAAAACTAACAACTGATCTAGCATCAACTGGCATTTGTTCCAAACCTCTATCATGCTTTGTTTTTAGAAGTGCTTCCTAACATTTCTCCTGTATGGTACAGCCTTAATTCTCAGACTATGTCCCCTAGTTCTAGAAATCCCAACCAGTGGAACTTCTTTATCAACCTTGCCCTTTCTTGTTAATATATAGAAAGTATCTGTTCCCGGTTCACTTATACCATGGAATTGGCTCTCCTTCATTTTGACCTGCTTAGTGAAGTTTAATGGAAGTAGGATAGCTACATCCTAAAGAAAAAAGAAAATGTTGCGACTAACCAAGAGATGGTTTCTCTCAAAACAAAAGGGGTGCTCTATAACCACTTCTCACCCGGTTATAACAAACGAGAGCTTTGTCTGAGGCATTCCATAGGCAAACAACAGAATTGGAGGGAGGGAAACAAATTTTCCTTCAAATGTCACTTAGAAAAAAAACCCAAAATTTTTTAAGTCTTTGAGTCAATGTTTGAAATTAATGCTTTGTAGAAGAGGACAAAATTAGTTATGTAAAACTAAAAACCTCACTCTTTTAAGAATTAAAAGTCACAGCTGAGCACTTAGAAGTAGAGATCAACCAGAGAGCGAAGAAAACAGAAACTGCAAAGCAGATGGCAAAATTTCTAGAGCTGTAAAGCAAGAATAATGAATCAGATTAAATTAAATCTGGAGTAGCAGTGATTAGAAATAGAATTCCAACAGAGAAAAGTGGATTCCAGGAACAGACAGTGACCGAATGACAGACAGAGACCAACAGAAAGTTTTAAGAAAGACAGCGAAAGAGTTCCAAAAGAAACAGCTTAAGCTAAGAACAGAGATTTAAGACAACTCTGATGAGGGGAAAAACACCTAATTCAGACTTCAGGGCTGAAGCATTCAAGTGTGGCCATTTACTCCCTACCTTTGAAGAGGAACAGGTGGACACCCTCTAAATCTCTTTTAAAAGTTAATTGTTGTGCACTGCAGTTACAGAGCAGTCTGACAGACAACATTTCTACTTGGCTGTGCAGCATAACAATCAGCATACCCATGCTGTTTGCCACATTAATTTCCAGTTCCAATAGTCTCTGATCAGTATAGACCTCAGAGGTCTACACAGAAGGAAAAAACAAAGTAGCAGGAGTGCTGCTAATAGCAAAGGCTCATGAGGTTTACTCCTTCTTACCCGAGGAGAGTACACTTATGAGGGCAGCAAAAGGTGTTGTTTTAATGTGTACCAGTTAGTGCCAGAGGCATACAAGTCAGTCTATACCCTGAAGAAATGGTCTGATCAGACTCACCTAGTAAAAGGACAAACTAAGGAGCTCATTTTTGACCATTGGTATGGACATTTAAAATTGAAACCACCTGTGAGAACCTTTAAGAGATAAAACCCCTCAAGGATCTGTTTTGGGGCCACTGCTGTTTGTCATTTTCATAAATGACCTGGATGAGGGCGTAGAAGGATGGGTTAGTAAATTTGCGGATGACACCAAAGTTGGTGGAGTTGTGGATAGTGCGGAAGGATGTTGCAGGTTACAGAGGGACGTAGATAAGCTGCAGAGCTGGGCTGAGAGGTGGCAAATGGAGTTTAATGCAGAAAAGTGTGAGGTGATTCACTTTGGAAGGAGTAACAGGAATACAGAGTACTGGGCTAATGGTAAGATTCTTGGTAGTATGGATGAGCAGAAAGATCTCGGTGTCCATGTGCCTGGATCACTGAAAGTTGCCACCCAGGTTGATAGCGTTGTTAAGAAGGCGTACAGTATGTTAGGTTTTATTGGTAGAGGGATTGAGTTTCGGAGCCATGAGGTCATGTTGCAGCTGTACAAAACTCTGGTGCGGCCGCACTTGGAGTATTGCGTACAGTTCTGGTCACCGCATTATAGGAAGGATGTGGAAGCGTTGGAAAGGGTGCAGAGGAGATTTACCAGGATGTTGCCTGGTATGGAGGGAAGGTCTTATGAGGAAAGGCTGAGGGTCTTGAGGCTGTTTTCGTTAGAGAGAAGAAGGTTAAGAGGTGACTTGATAGAGACATACAAGATGATCAGAGGATTAGATAGGATGGACAGTGGGAGCCTTTTTCCTCGGATGGTGATGGCTAGCACGAGGGGACATAGCTTTAAATTGAGGGGTGATAGATATAGGACAGATGTCAGAGATAGGTTCTTTACTCAGAGAGTTGTAAGGGCGTGGAATGCCCTGCCTGCAAAAATAGTACACTCGCCCACTTTAAGGGCATTTAAATGGTCATTGGATAAACATATGGATGATAATGGAATAGTTTAGGTTAGATGGGCTTCAGATTGGTTTCACAGGTCGGCGCAACATCGAGGGCCGAAGGGCCTGTACTGCGCTGTAATGTTCTATGTTCTATGTTCTATGAAAGGGTATTTCAAAAACTTCATACTCTTTCCAATTCAGACTCCTGTTTAGGAACTGAGAGCAGGAGGGTCCAAACAGTAAGCAAATTTGGCTGATGACTAATGGTGAACAAAATGACCCATTAACTCAGATAAATTGGACCCTGCGAGCTGTCACTGATTAGTGAGATGGATTGAGGTAAATACCCTAGAGATTAGCTAGTGAGAATGAGAGGTCAGACAGAGATGAGAGAACTGTCCCTGGGCATTAAAAGGAAAAATCAGTTGGGAAACAGGGGAGGGGAAAACTGACCCAAGTGTTGCTACTACAGGAAACCAGGGCATGGAAAGGAAAATAGTTGGCTTCAATGATCCTCGGAAATTCAAATTAAGAAAAAACATTAAAAATATGTTACAACTAAGTTTTGTTGCCTCGGGGTTGTGGGGGGCAGAAAAAGCTAAGACTGAAACGTTTACATCCATCTTCAGTCAGAACTGTATGACTTTTACCTCCATTCAAAGTGTATAATGGAGCTATTAAAGCAAAATGAAAATCACCATGGAAATCAAGTATTCAACAGCATGCTGCTCCTTCTGGATTTGGTTACTTTTTTAAAACAAAACTTTTAAAAACATTATTCTCCCAGATTAATACAATTGACCTCTATTAATCTGTACAGGAAGCAGCAAGTAAATTAAAGCCATATCAATTAGAAATGCAGATGTTTTGGTCAGGTAGGTCTGCCATCTGTTTTATCCTTCACTACGATTTGTGACAGCTACAGAATATAACTATGGTCTAAAAAAGTACATTGAAATGTAGTTCACCCTAATTTATACAAAGACATGTTGGTTGGAAGCAGGGTGGCAGGCAGAAGGAAGACAAAGTACAAATTAGAAATCGAGATGACTAGGACGCATCGCTAAACCCCTCAATTAGCATCTTAAACATGCTGCATCCTTCTGGATCGGTTAGGATGATATTCACTAGAGTTTAGAAGAATGAGGGCTGCAGGGAATCTCATAGAAACCTATAACATTCCAACAGAACTAGGCAGAGTAAAAGCAGGATGGATGTTCCTGATGACCAGGGAGGCCAGAACCAGGGGTTGCAGTCTATGTAGGCGATTTAGGACCCAGATGAAAACAAATTTCTTCATCTAGCAAGTGGTGAGCCTGTGGAGTCTCTGTCACAGAAATCTAGGTATAGTTCTTAGAGCTACAGGGTATGTGGAGAAAACAGAAATACGGTACTGACGGATGATCAGCCATGATCATATTGAAATATGGAGCAGACTTGAAGAGCCAAGTGACCTATACCGGCTCCTATTTTCTAAGTTTATGCTTCCAAGTTGTCCTCATTCCAAAATCACTTTGTACCGATTATACAAGTAAACAATGTTTAAAAGTCAGAGAACCTTATTCTAAAATTTCTTACCTTTAAAAAACTGTTGCAGCGCTTCATTTTCCCCTAAAACATCCATTCGATAAGTCTTAAGCGCTCACAAACCTGAAACTCTTCTCTAAAAACTCTTCAACAAACTCTTAGGTCCTTTAGCTGTTCAGAAAAGATTACATTCCCAGTTTACTGGTCAAGAGGTATGTTTCAACATCGAACATTTCTGTATACCTGCAGCTGAAGTACAATTCGTTTTCAATCTCCCTACACAATTCACCTTTGTCCAATTATTGTATTTTTAATTGTAATGTTTGACAGAAAATTGCCAAATCTTCATGGTGATGCGCAATATTCCAAGATGGTAAAGTATTTTGAATAAGCCCTTTGTCGAATAGTCTCAATAAGCTCACTTAATACACAAATGCTTTCCTCATTCTTAATACTTAGACCTTTGACCAGTACCTTCAAACCTTTTTTTCACTTATCATTACAGTGCAGGCAGGACACAGCAATTTACTTTTATTGTATAGGCAGCGAAACTATTACCTAAGTAACAAACTGTGCACTTTGTTAAGCTACACTGCTCGTTTCATAGTTACCAAGGTCATAACACTGACAATAATGAGATATGAAAGGAGGAGAGTTGAAGGGCAAGAACTAATCAAAGTAACAAGGTTACTTATTTTCAGAAACAAATCAATAAATTGTTATGAAAAATGTGAGAATAGAAGACTCAGTCATGGATGTCTACAACACATAAAAATGCCATTTGATCCATCGTGCCTGTGCTGGTCAAAAGCAACCTAACTATTCTCATCCCATTTTTCAGTACTTGGGCCACATGGCCTTGAATGCCTTGGCATCGCAATGTACATCTGTTAGTTTCTTAAACATTTTATGGTAGCAAAGACAGAGGCCTACTATTTATATCCTCACTTCCACATTATGCCATCTTGATTGCTGATATCCCAAAAACAAACATCTGATTATATTTCTGGTTAAAATATTGAACTGAATAAGTTAATTGAAGCACAGGATGACAAAGTTAGAATCCTTGACTCGAATTTCTTGTCTTTCTATCCTTTTAACAAGGATCAATGGTGTGAGAGGTCAGTTCTTGTACATTTTGTTTTGCATACCATGCAACAAAATTCCTTAAACATTAATGCTTGATTTATATTTGTGCCTTGTAGTCACATTTTGTATCGGGTCAAGAGTAGGGAAGTTTACACACTGCCCAAGCGATAGCTACAATGCAAATTAATAGTGTACCACTTGCAGTTCCCTTAAATTGTAAAAATAAATAAGAAAGTTCTTATTCTCAGATTTTCTTCTTGCCAATCGATTCATTTCCCTTCATTAACAACAATTGAAGATTGCAGGATAGCAAATGTAAAAGCACAAAATTCAGACCAAAAAAATTTTATCATGCAAATTTAATTTGGAACTTTCACTATAGAATAAGTCATCAAAACTCTATAATGTACTCACCAATTCTAATGTAAAATTTGCACTATTTCCGAGCCTATGATTTTTATTTCACTAAAACTATAAAATTATTGCCAACACTTCCTTTTCCTTCCTTACTTCACTCAACAGCCTGGGATACATTTCATTCAGCTCTGGAAATTTATCTACTTTGAAACCTGCCAGATCATTCAAAACCTTTTCTCTGTCAATGCTAAATTCTTTAAAGTATATCAGTCTGTCTCTCTGATTTCTATACTCACACCCTCTCACCAATGAACATTGATAAAGTATTCATTTAGAACCCGACTTATGTCCTCTGGTTCTGTGCATTAATTCCCACTATGGTGCTTGCTCTTTCCCTAGTTATCCTTTTATTGCAAAAGCACTTTTAAAAACCAGAGTTTTCCTTTATTTTGTTTGCTATTATCCTTTCATACCCCCTTTTTGTTCTCCTCATTTCCTTTATAAGTTTCCCCTTGTACATTCTATAATCCTCTGGGGCCTCTGCTTTTTAAGCTCTCAATATCTGCCATTTCTGTATTATCAAATCATTTTAAGATTTCACATGCATCAATCATACTTCAATCATCTAAATCAGGTTTATGCAACTTATCATTGTATTTCAACTCTCCAGGCCCAGCATCATATTAGCAAATTGGCGCAACACCCTTGCAAAGATTGATATATCCTTGAAGTGCCCATAACCAAAAGTATTATAGGATCTGACTGATGATATTTTCAACAAGTGCAGCTTTGTCACATTTGTTTGCCATCACTTGAGATTATGGCCCAATGTTCTATCAGACTCTCCTATATTTGTACATTGGAAGCTAATGATTTGTGAATTTACGACTCCCAAATCTATGCTCTTTTACAGATCCTAGTATTTTCTGTTGTTGGTCCAAACATTGACCTCACACTTGGAATGCCAATTTCCATTGCTTTCCTACTCAATTAACCAGCCTATGTTGCTTTGTAACTTGTGAACGGCCTTGACCTTTTCAACTTCTTCACCTGCAAACTTACATACAATTCTCAATTTCTTCAAAACTACTCATATTTATTGCCTCAGGCAATTTCAAGTTTGCCTTGATAGAAATAAATAAAATCATATCTTATTGTATAAACACAAGCCTTAATATAAATTCCTACATGTTAACTATACATGGGTCATAGCTGCATTACATGCATCATTAATGACACTGCTCTTTTCATTATGTACAATAGGAATTCCATGCAATCATAGAAGGTTTTAAATTAGGCAAACCTTGGAAACTGGCAAGCAATTTTGAATATTCATACAGGCATATAAATGCATATTAATTCTATTAGAATAATAGTATAATAGAACAAAAATCTACCAACATATCAATGTTCAACTCAAAAATGCACGTGGTCACTCTTCCAGAACCAACCACCTTTGTCTCCCAATCCTGAGCAATGTTGCAATCTTCCCTCATGTCAGAAGGATAACAGCAACTGGCAAGCTATTGAAAATAATCAACTGCAACCCAAGCCTCCATTCCTTTCTGGGCCACCAGGTGAGCAACTTTTGTAATTGACATATGTGACAATGCTGAGACAAGGCATAGAGCTGGATGAACACAGCAGGCCAAGCAGCATCATAGGAGCAGGAAGGCTGACGTTTTGGGCCTAGACCCTTCTTCAGAAATGCTGTCACTTTAAAAAGGTTATTTTGTCCTACATATTTTTTGAAGAGAGGTTGTAAAGGCAGAGGTGCCGAAGTGGCTAGGGAGCCAGACTGAATCAGTAGTGATTTTTTAAAACAGTTTAACAATGGAAGGGGAGCGGCCAGTTCTCCCTGTTCAAGTTCTAGTTTTTTTAAGCTGTAGCAGTCACAAGTTATGGGAGTACCCGAAGAGTTGCAAGCTTCTGTAAATGATTCCTAACTGGCTTTCTCTGAAATCTCTGGTTGTTGTTCCCTCCTGCTTGTAAGAATCTGTGTTGAATTTACCATTTTGCCAAGGAGTGGGTTTACAGGATGTTCCTACATTGCAACAATTACTTGAGTTGAGTTGCTGTATCAGGTCAGTTAAGTTTTGCAATAGTTGTTATTCTAAATTCCACTTTCTTTTGTTCGTGTTTTAACTGTAGTATTAAAATAAATTGTGTTTCACTTAAAGCCGAGTGGTTTGACCAGTTGCATTACACCTGGAACACCCACTTCATATCTACCTTTAAAATAAGAAAAGGCTGGGGTCTTGGCTACCTTTTTAAACTATTTTGAGGGGGGTCTGGCTTGGTCCATAACATATATTAAGTACATTTCACTTGTGTTAAAAAACTCTGCAACTGAAAGTGAGAAAGAAATAAACCACGAGTTGGAATTGTCACAAACTACTAGATGATTTGCACCACAACACTGAATTAAGAAATTGCTGTGCCTATACTGTTAAAATGAGTTAATATAATGGCAAAACTTTCTAACAATTTTTGTAAGTAGAAGGGTGCTTATCTTTCTTGAATGTTGTTCAATCTTATGGCCCAGAAAGGAAATAAATTACGGAGACTCATGGGCAGTGAGCTTTTCCGAGGAATTTTTAAAATTTAAAAATCTGTTCGTTCAAAGGATCAGGTTAACATCAGGGAATATAAGGAAGGCAGCAGGCTTTGAAGGAGTGGTTTGGACAGAGTGGCCCAAATGTAATTTTTTTGTATATACTTAATGACTAAGTGTTGGTTCAAGCCTTATGTGAAAACCTTGGGCCTTCATTATACTCTTTCCCCAAACTCCACCAGCTTCTTCAGCACCCCACCATAACTCTTCTCCAACTGATTCCAATTTACTAAGAGACAGTTGTAAGATTGGAAGAGCCTCTATAGTCTAGCCCTATTGGGTTCATTGCCTGATATCAGAATTCTCTGTACCCTTCTCTCTTTCTCCCCACCCCAAAAAGCAAAATTTATTTAAATGATGAGCCATTGCTGATGAGCCATTGCAGTTTTTTCTCCAATGCAGTCAAGAGTTGTAATTTTTTACACTGCTGTGTTCATTCACCCCTATTGTTGCTTAGTAATAGCTGGACAAATAAAATAGTTTTTTCCATTAGCACATGAGAAGTGCATCAGCCCATTTAACACCAACTTCAGCATTAAATTTCCTTACTTCTAGGTAAACAGACCAAGTACAAAGAAAGAGAGAGTCAAGTCACCTTTGTAAGTATTTATTAATGCCCTCCAAGGCTAATAGTGGCTGCATTAGAATTGTTTTCCCTTAAAATATTTTGTTCCTGGAGGAAGGAATTGCATTCTACTTAACTCCTCAGTGTTGTACTAGACTTCTTACTAACCAATCATGATGTGAATGTGCCCAGTGATATGGCATACAATTAACCTTAAAGTTATGGAAAAACACTGGATCATAGCCCTAGAACTTTCAAGATGTTGTTGAAGAGGTCTTGTTTTCACAAGATTACACCTGAAAAATACATGGGGAATAAGTAGCAGCATTTTGTTCTCCACAAAGGTGAAAAATGATCAAAGAAATTGTCTCTGACAGCCAAGAAAAAAAAAAGAATCACAACTGTTGTATTGCAGGAGGCGGCAATTTGGCCCATTGTGCCTGCACCAGTTCTATTCCCGAGTGCCAATCTCCTGCCTTTTCCCTATATTTGGATAGAAATGGTGGAGGGATAATCATCCAAAGCCTTCTTGAATGTCTCAAATGAAACTGCCTCCACCACATTTCCAGCCAGTGCATTCCATACCCATAACTACTGTGAGAAAAAGTATTTTCTTATATCACTTTTGTTTCATTTGCACATTCCTTTAAATTGACACCCTCTCATTTGTTTAACTTGTGTTTGGAAATAACTTCTTTTTTCTCTATTCAGCCCATGTGTGGCTTTCAGAAACCCCGTCAGATTCCTCTACGCCTTAGAAACTGAAAGAACTGCTGATGCCGTAAATCAGGAACAAAAACAGAAGTTACTGGAGAAGATCAGTAGGTCTGGCAGCATCTGTGAAGGAAAAAAAAATCAGAGTTAACATTTCAGGTCCATTCTGAGGAAGGGTCACCGGACCAAAAATGTTAACTCTGACTTTTTTTCTACACAGATGCTGCCAGACCTGCTGAGCTTTTCCAGCAACTTCTGTTTTTGATCCGCTAAGCCTTCTTCTCCCCAGGGAGTCCCAATTCTTCAATCGATCCTCAAGACTGAAGTTCCTCATTCCCAGAACTACTTCTTGTGAAAGTAAATTAAAAATATTTTTACTTTAAGGTTTTGGAGTAGATTTGTAGCTCAGGTTGTGGGTGTTGTGGTTGGTTGGCTCGCCGAGCTAGTTTGTTGTTCTGCAGACGTTTCATTACCCTGCTGGGTAACATCAGTGCAGCCTCCGATGAAGCGCTGGTGTGTTTTCCTGCCTGGTTTTTAAATGGGGAACTCCAAACGAAAGTACACAGAAAAGCCACACACACAGACCAGGTACTGAACTTCAACAGTAACCATCCCAACACACACAAATGAAGCTGTATGCGAACACTATTTAAACGGGGAACAACACACTGCAGCAACAAAGAACTACGCCAAGAGGAAGAATAATACATCTTCCAGGTTTTCAAGGATAATGGATATCCAACAAAACTGGGTCAGACGATGCCTACACGAACAACAATCGGGAAGATACTACACGCCCTGACACACTCATCACACTACCCTACATCAGGAACTAACCACAAGACTCCTACGACCACTGGGCATCAGAGTGGCACACAAGCCCACATCAACCCTATGATAACTGCTCATTCGAACTAAAGACCCAATCCCACCATGGACAGGACCAATATCATCTATAAGATCCCCTGTAGAGGCTGAGAGAAACACTACATCGGACAAACAGGAAGGAAACTAACAACAAGGGTACACAAACACCAACTGGCTACAAAAAGACACGACCAATACTCACTCATCTCAATCCACATGGATAATTCGACTGGGACAACACCAAAATCCTGGGACAAGCCAAGCAGAGACAGGCACAGGAATTCCTATAAGCCTGGTACTCCATGAAGAAAGCCATCAATAAACACATAGAACTCGACCCCATATACACTCCATTGCAAAGGAGAACCGAAAGTGAGGCAATCCATCTCAACAGGCTCTAGAGTTTAAAAACGAGGCAGGAAAACACACCAGCTCTTCATCGGAGGCTGCACTGATGATGTTACCCAGCAGGGTAATGAAATGTCTGTGCAACAACAAACCAGCTTGGCAAGCCAACCAACCTCAATATTTTTACTTGTTAAAGTATTTCTGATGTTCAGCATTTTCTTTCATGTTTTACAGATAACAGTTTTAAACCCAGTTAGAAGCTTAAAAAAAATTAGGGAAGGGGAGACCAAAAACTGCAAAGTACAGACATGTCAGCAGTAGGGAAAATGCTACACTATTATAATGGAAATGATAAATGGATTGTGAATGGTGTTTGACAAAGCTGTTGGAGTTTTTATTTATGAGGATGTTGCTAACAGAACTAATAAAGGGGATTCAGTGGATGCAATATATTGGATTTTCAGAAGGTTTCTGATAAATATCTGCACAAGATGTCGGTAAGCAAAATTAAAGCACATAGGATAAGACACAATTTTGGTTTCCTTACCTTAGGAAAGATATTATTGGCTTTAAGCAAGTGAAACAAAGATTCAATAGATTTTTCCTGGAATAACAGTACTGTTCTATGAAGAGAGATTGGGGAAACTGGGCCTGTATTCCAGATGATGTTATTAAAGCTTACAAAATACCTAATAAGGGATAGACCAGGTAATTCACCTGGTTAGGGAGTTTAGAACCAGAACACAATTCTAAACACCAGCGAAGCCACTTGAGACAGAGATAAAGTTTGAGAGTCTTTTTATCTCTCCAGGGTAGAGAATTCTAGTGCGTGTTTAAGGTAGAGATCCACAGATTTCGAAACACCAATGACAAAGAGAGATATGGGGACAATGTGAGAAAAAGGAATTGAAGTGGAAAATGGACCATCAGCCATTGATGGTATTGAATGGCAGAATAGGCTAGATGAGCTGAACGGCCTATCACTGCTATGTTCCCAAGACATTTGTTTTAAATTGCTGAATGCAATATTAAGAAATCGACTTTTCCCTAAATCTGTACCAGTTGAGAACAGATTCAGAGAGGAACATCATTGTAACTGATTATTCTGAAATTCTGAAATGGTACAGCATAGAAATAGAAATGAGCAAATGATAGAATATGCTCACAACAAGACAAGCATATCAAAAATTTTAAACTTCAAATTCGCCTGGCAATTCAGAAGCAACAGTATTCACAATACATAACAATATTTATGAGCAGATAATCTTCAAAACTGCAAGTTAACATTTACCAAACATATTTATTTTCATTTAGTGCATTTTAAGATTGTTACAGTATCATTAATGCATTTCATATTAGTCAGTTTCATGTCTTAATTTGTCTTAAATTTGCATTACAAAGTGTTGTATTCAGAATATACACTGTATTTAAAGTGCACAATGTGAAATCAATAACTCAACCATTATTAACTGAAATTGAATGAAAATACGGAAAGCTTGATTGTTTTGCAGCGAATGAAAGCCACACATCCTGCCAAATTATTTTAAAATATTCCTTATGAAAATAGAAAGCCAATACACAAAGCATTCAGTTCTCTTGCAACCGTGTTGCAGGACAGATAAGAGGTCAACATTTGCTTCAGCTGCTTTCATCACACATGATTTACTTTCTATGCAATGCCACTGATACAGTCGCAAATACTCTCTAGTCCTTCAAATGCCCAAAACTAAATGCTAATAACAGAAAAAATATTTTCTAGTCCATTGTCATTTGTTGAAATTAACTACCTTTGTTGTACTTAAGCATAACTGCTAAAAAAACAAAATCAGAGATGGTAGGCCCACTATAGAAATAAATATTTGGACAATAAGTCTTAGGAACCACATCATTGTTGATCACGGAGTAAAGCTCATGCATTTGTTCCAACAGCTGGATTTCAGAGCTCCTCCTTGTAAAATCCCAGTTTGGCTAGTGACATTTCCTTCCTCAGATGCATCACTTCCCAAAACATTTGTTCAACTGTAAAAACAGAATGCAAGCAGCAAAAGATATAAATTATATATACCACTCATGTAAGAACATACATGGAGAAATAAGCTATTTGAGAGTTCATGATTGTTCCTAGAGTCAATAAGATCATGTACGAGCAAGTTACTGCAGATGCTGGAATCTGCACTGAACACAACAAATGCTGGAGATCACAGCTTTCACTGACAGAGAGCAAGCTAACATTTCAAGTCCAGATGACTCTTCAAAGCTGAAGTGCAGTGTGGAGGGCAGCAGCAAGCATTTATGCTCAAGTTGGTGGTGGTGGTGGGGAGAAGATGGCAGTGGTGGTGTGAAGAGTGCTGGTAGAGAAAAGGTGTTGATCGATCAGATTAAGTGATTGGAAAGTGAAAATGGCAGAACAATGGTGTGTCTAACTGCCACCCTGGGGTGGGGTGAGGGGAGAGAGGACAGGGTGACAGAGAATGTAACAAGTAATGCTGAAAGAAGGGAAGGAATGGGAGTTGGTTCACACTTTGAAGGTGTTGAATTCAATATTAAATTACTCAAAAAAACTCAATATTAATACTCCAGAAAGTTGTAAAGTGCCTAGTCTGAAGAGGAGATGTTGTTCCTCCAATTTATGCCGAGATTCAACGGAGCACTGCAGCATACCAAGACAAGACATGTGGGCATGCGAGCAGGACGCTGTGTTAAAATGACCGGCTACAGGAAGGTTGGAGTCATGCTTGCGCACAGACCGGAGGTGTTCTGCAAAGCAGTCACCCAGTCTTATTTTGGTTTGTCCAATGTAGACTAGGCCATATTGGGTGCAAATACAATACACAAGATTGGATGAGGTACTGGTGAAATGCTGCTTGACCTTGGAAGACTGTTTAATTCCTTGAATGGTGAGCAGGGAAGTAAAGGGGCCGTGGGCGGTTGGGGGTGGTGTTGGTGGTCATGTAATGGACTAGGGTGTCCTACTGGGAACGATCCCTGCAAAACGCAGATGGGGGAGTGAGGGGAAGATACGTTTGGTGGTGGTATTCTGCTGGAGTTGTCTGAAATGACAGAATGATGCTTTCAATGTGGAGGCTGGTGGGATAAGAAGTGAGGACAAGGGGGACGTGTGAGTAATGGGAAGGGGCAAAGGCGAAAGCACGGGTGAAAGGTTAGATGTGGTTGAGGGCCCTGTCGACGACAATGGGCAGAAAACCATGGTTATGGAAGAAGCAAGCCACGTCAGCAGTGTTGTTTTGGAAAGTGGCATCATCCAAACAGATGTTAAGGAAAGGAATGCGGGTTGCTGAAAAAGTAGAATGCACCTGAATGAACTTGGAAAAGAAATTTAACGAAGAGTGCTTCTGTGTCACTGTGACAATCCAATAATCAATCAAGGGCACAGAAGCATATGCACAAATTCTCAGCCAGGAGGAGCTTTTTCTACAATCTCATTCTTTACAAGCAAAGTTCCCTATTTTAACAGTGCTGTTTTGAGGGAAGCAATATCAGTGTTAGATACCACTACAACCAATTAAAAATTGTGCAGGTTTTGAGACCTTAGCAAAGCAAGGTCATAATGTGCCTTGGGACTAGGTTAGTTTGGAAAACCTGGTTGGCATGAATGAGTTGGCTCAAAGGTTTCCATGCCGTATGACCCCGTGACTCTAGTGCGTCCTTGACTTAAAAAAGGGTTTAATTACAATTGCCATTTTCAAAATAATCACTTACCATCTTGCTGTTTAACCAGACCCTGCTGAATATACCGAATATAAGTGAAGAAGTTGCATACAGACATAATCTAGAGGGCAAGACAGAAAAAATACAAAATCTGTTTGTACCAGAATTATACCAATTGTTGTCTGATTTACAGAATTAAAGTACAATGATGCTAATAGAATATACAGAAAGTGAAACATTTCTTACCCTGTATCTACAAAATGGCGAAACATAGTAATAGCTACTGGAATCTCCCAGTTTTATTCGATGTTTACACGTTTTAGTTTGACCACTTAGGGCACATTTTCTGTAAAAATAGTATGGCAGAATAAGAAATGAAGCAAATTTGAATTACATTATGTAATCATTATCAAAACTTAATAGCTAAATATTCACTCCAGTGAAATTAAGGTACAGGAAGCTACATGCTAACCAATAGTCATAGATGGGATAAACATATACATTTAAATGTGTACCAGAACTAGAAACTCAGGAGGACCCCTCACTTTCAACACTTCCCTACTAAACCAATGGAGAGGAATCCTAGCTTTGAAAGAGCAAATGGAATGTTTGCCTCAATAAAAAAAAAAAAGGATGAAGCAATTATTGGCCAAAATATTTAAGTATTAGAATCTTAGAGTACAGGAATTCAATAATATCTTCGACAGCCCTCTGACATCAATTGGAAAATCCTTAAATTGTTTATTTTGTTTATTTCCAAGACACAGGCGTCACTGGAAAGACCATCATTTGTTGTCCATCCCCAGCTGTCCTTGAAAAGACAGCGAAGTAGATTTTCTTGCACCACTGCAGTTCACATGAAGGTACTCCCACAAAGTGGTTAGATAGGGAGATCCAAGATTTTGAGCAAGTAACTGTATTTTAGCATTACATTTTCTAATTAAAACCAGAAAATGCTGCAGAACCTCAGCAGATCTGGCAGCATCAATGGAGAGACAAACAGAATTAAAGTCTTGATTCTCATACTACTCTTCAAAACTGAAAGGGGATGGAAAATAGTGGGTTTAATGCTATTGACAGGGGGAAGGAGGAATGAGTGGAATAGATGGCAAGGATGCCCAAAGCACTCGACAAAGGGAATGCTAATGGTGGTAAAGGATAAATAGTAATGTAAAATAGGTGTAAACAGGAGGTGTAAAAAGGAGAAAGTGAACCCGCTCTGCTAAGAGCAAAGTCAAGAAATGGAGAGGGGTAGAATGAAAACAGAGCAGAGAGATCATGCTGTGAAGTTGTTGAATAGTGTTGAGTCCTGAAGATTTTAAAGTACCTAAGCAGAAAATGAGGTGCTATTCCTCCAGCTTATGTAGAACTTTGTTGGAACACTACAAACCAAAAATGGAAATATTAGCATGAAAGCAAGATGTTTTTGTTTGTTAAAAATGACAAGCAACTGGAAGATCAGTATGATTCTCAAGGAGAGTGCAGAGGTGTTCCGCAAAGCAGTCACCCAATCTGCATTTGGTCTTGCCAATGGCAAGGAGACAATTTTCTTATCACCGAGCTAGTTTTCTAATAATCCCTTTGGTTTCCTCTGTCTTTATTCTTAGTCACCTGTGGGTGTGGAGGGGGATGGAAGATATTCCATTGTGCCTGCAAATAAAATAAATCTTTCATTTCCATAAAAAGTCCTGTTTAACTCTTTTAAAAAGAAGTGCATCCTTGGGAATGAGCATCGCTGATATCATTTATTGCCCAACTCTAACTGCCTCAAGGTGGTGATACAAACTGCATTTTTGAACCACTGAGTAACTTACTAGGCTACTTCAGTGGGCAGTCAAAGTCAATCATTTTGTCTTGGCAAAAGTGAAATGCTGCAGATGCTGGAAACCTGAAATAAGAACAGAAATGCCAGGAAAACCTAACAGGTCAGACAGCATCTGTGGATACAAAAAAAAGTTACCATTTAAGGTTGACAACCTTTTACCACAACGAAGCAGAAATAGAGATTTAAGCATTTTTAAAAGAAGCGGAAGGTGAGAGGAACAAAGGTTGGTGCCAAATGAAATTAAACAGCCAAAAAGTGTAGCGATGATTATAGTAAATCAAATATGGCTGCATCCAAATGGTGTGGGAAATACTATGAAAAAATCCGAATACAACACGAAGACATAAAAGGAACATAACAAAGATAAACCAGCAAAATGCAAGTATCTGCTGTCGCTTCTTAACCTCTCTTCCAGACCATGATAGAATTCCCTTTATTCTCACCATCTACTCCCAGACTTCGCATTCAATGCATCAACCTCCCTGATTTCCACCAGGTCTACCACATTGCATCCACTGAACACATTTCCACTGCCTTCCCTTTCTTTGTTCTGTAGGGATTGTTCCTTGCACTGCTCAGTCACCCCTTACATGTACACCCTTCTCTACAAGAAATACAGCAACTGCCTTTGCACCTCTGCCCTCCTCACTGTTGATGGCGCCAAACACTCCAAGTGATATAGCAATTTTTGTACTTCTTTCAATTAACCAATCATTTCTCTTCAATTCTGGTGACAAATCATCAACCCAAAACATTAACTCTGATTGTTTCCACAGATGCTGCCGGACTTGGAGCTTCTCCAGCCTACTTTTGTTCTTATCTCACATTTGTTTTGAACTTTAATCACGTTTAGGCCAGACCAGGTAATGACAGCAGGTTTCAATCCTAACAGATTGGCAAACCAGCTGAATTTCTACAACAATCTAACAGCTTCAAGGTTTCTTTTTAAAACTGAACCAACTTTTCATTTTGTTTCTTTTAAAATAAATTCAAATTTTCAAACTATCACTATGCCTGTCCCATAGCAATAACTGCATAATTTACCCATTCTAATGATACCTTTTAAGCATCTTCAGAAATTTTTTTCCCATTCTTCCTGCGACTTGTTTCTGAAACGCTGCAGATATTTTCAAAAAAACTGTCACATCCCATGTAGTATTTCCCATGGTCCAGCTACAGCAATTAAATTTCCAGGATCATGCAGAAAAGGATTACCACACAACATACTACAATATAAAGGAAGGTATTTTGAATAATGTCTTGCTCTGGTCAATGACTTCACTTCAAAAAGGAATGCACCATTTTTGTGGTATTTGAATAACTGATTTATTATGGTATTAAATTGTACAGCATAAAGCTATTACACATATCAACACTTCTTTTAAATATGCATGAATTTTGTCAATAGATTACAAATGTAACAGCGTTTTAATGCAATGAATCTGAAGAATATGCCTGAATCTGATACTCATTTTCAAGCTACTAGTATCTTTAAGTTTACTGCATTTTTACATGAAAAAAGTATTCAAAATTAAACTCCTCTGATTTCTATTTTTAAAGTGGTTTTATTGATAATTGGTAATCAATTTACAGAACTGAGACAAACTACTTGAGAATACTGCCTCTTGTAAAATTGATGGACGATTGGAATCCCTTTGCCTTTTACCAAATCACATAAACATTGCTGTACAATGCCTTCGAAGAAATATCTTTAAACTTG